ACCCCCACCCCATGGCAGCCAGTAGGATCTTTGTGACACTAAACTTGGACTATGTTGATCCCCTGCTTAGAACCTGTCATGGCGCTCCATAACCCTCAGGTTCCAGGCCTCGTTCTTTCCTGTGGTCTCCAAGGCAGTGTCAGCACTCTTCCTAGCTGCCCCCATCCCAGCCCTGACCCCTCCGCCTGTGCTTCTCCTATCCCAGGCCTGTCTCTCCTGCTGGACTATGAGCCTCCTAAAGGCAGAGGGGTCTTGGTCACTGCTGTGTCCCAACTTTGCCTAGCATGGGGCCAGGCCCAGGGCATGGATTCAGTGAATATGTGTTGGATATAAAACTGAATGGTTTTATAGCTCAGTGGTGCCTGCATGGGTTAATGATTAAGTATTTGACATCAAAAGTCAGACAAACCGGAGTTTGAAACTGATTTTGTCAATTCCCGATTATGTGGTCTTGGGCAAATGACCTTACCTCCCTAAGCCTCACTTCCCCCTTAAAATAAAAGCGATGATCCTTAATATCGTAATCATAGCTAATACTTGTACAGTACTTATTTGGGCCAGGTACTGTTCTAATCACTTTAATCTAGGTTAAATCACTTAATTCACTTAACCCTCTTCATTTACCCTCCTCTTGTGATATGAGTGCTGTGGTGATACCCATTTTACAGTTGGGGAAATTGAGGCTGAGTCACTTTACTGAAGTGAAGTCACTCACTTGGGCCCATATGATTTGTGACTTCTTCATACCTCTCTGGACATTAGTTTCATCTGAAAACCAAGGGCTCAATACCTCTCCAAGGAGACAGCATAAGACAGTCATCAGGGGTCCCTGAAACCTGGAGTGGGAGGCACAGTAGGTACCTAAGTTCTTCTTACCTTGGTTCCCTCAACCTGGTTCACAGGGAACAGCTCCCTGAGTCCGCGTACATGCACCAGCTCTTGGGCCTTAACCTCCTCTTCCTGCTGTCTCAGAACCGGGTGGCTGAGTTCCACACGGAGTTGGAGCGGCTGCCTGCCAAGGACATCCAGACCAACGTATACATCAAGCATCCTGTGTCCCTTGAGCAGGTGAGTCTGGAGAAAGGGAAAGGAAGGGCCTGGCTAAGGAGTGTGGTGCAAGGACAGACATTAGGGAGGGTTTCCTGGAGAAGTGGATAGGGTTCACCCATCTTTCAGTCCATAGACTCATTTATTTATTTGTCCATCAAATATTGAGCACCAGCCATGTGCCAGGCACTGTGGTTGGTTTTCAGACTGTACAGTGAAAAAAAGAAATAAAATCCCTGATCTTGGGAGCATGACATAAGGGTGGTCAGGGAAGGTCTTGCTGAAAAGGTGAAATTTGAAAAAACACTGGAGAGGAGTAAAGAACCCAATTATGTGGACATCTAGGGGAACAGTGGTCCAGGTAGCCTGGACCTTCTGCCAAAGGTCCCAAGGCAGAAACATGCCTGGTAGCCTGGCTGAGGGGTAGCACAGAAGACAGTGTTTCTAGAACAAGGTCAGCAGGATGAGAGAGGAGCCTTAGTACCCAGGGTTAGGAAGTAATTCCTAGAGCTGAGGTCTCATGGGAGGACTTGGCTGTGGGGAGAGGCTGGGAGAGAGGACAGTTAAGGCAGGCGGCACAGCTTGGGCAAAGGAGGAATAGGCTTGTGGTACATCCAGCTCTGTCTCCTCCTGTGATTGGATAATAGATGATATTAGTACATATCAGCGCAGGGCAGGCTGGGAGTGTGTGTGTGTATGTGTGTGTAAGTAAGCCAGAGAGACCTTTCTGGTAGAGCTGGTGCCCATTCTGCATGGGGAATGGGTGTTCCAGCAGAGTGGGGCTTATGGTAGCACTGGGAGTATGGTGAAGCCTCCGAGGGTAGGCCACTATGCTGTCTCTACCTCATCTTCTCATCTTCCCCACCCTTCCCTCATTCTCCACAGTACCTAATGGAGGGCAGCTACAACAAGGTGTTCCTGGCCAAAGGCAACATCCCTGCCGAGAGTTATACCTTCTTCATCGACATCCTGCTGGACACTATCAGGTTCATGGGGAACCAGGGCCTCTGTGGTGTTCAGAAAGAGCTTGGAATCTGGAGTCAGGCAGCCCTTAACTGAATCCCATTCTGGCCACTTGTGATCTGGGGAGACTGGGCACATCAGTTTTCTTTTTCTATGCACTAGAACTGGTCATGAGATTGTGGAAAACAGGCTTCATCTCGCTCTGGGCTGTTTACCAGTGTGCCTATACATTCCAGACCCAGAGCACTGATTTAGCAGCCAGACAGTGCTCAGCAACCAGGGACCATGCTGCCTTTCTTAGAGGTGTTCCATGAGTCCTGCGACCTCACCTCAGATCACCTAAACTGTGAAGCCTTTAGTTTCCACTTCTTTAAAATGGGGCCTTCAAATCCCACTAATCCTTTGGGGTTGCTCTGTGCACAAGTGACATCACAGAGGAAGTTGGGCATGACATTTACAAGTCCTTTGAGAAGTAAAAGAGTGTCCAGGTGGAGGCAGAGTATCAGATTGAGATGGGTTTCCATTCCTCCCAAGCCCAGAGGTGGTGGGAGTGAGGATGGCAGTTTTGTGGATTTGGGTTATATTTTGACTCCAAAATTAAAGGAATGAAAAGTGAGTGTCCATATACTGCTTGGCCTAAGAAATAAAATACTTCAGAACAGATGCACCCTCCCTGTCATCCCCCACCCCCATCACTCCCCCCAAGCTAACCCCTTCTGTTTCAGTGACTTCATGCCTTGCAGTTTTTCTACTCAGTGTTGATCATGATACCTCTTGGCAAGGGTACAAGGAACCCCCTCAGGATTGGATCTAGAAATGGCGTGCAGCACCCTTGTAAGGGGATGGTGTTATGTGAAAAGACCCCCTACGTGGGAATCCCAGGCTGGCTTTCAGATAGCCTGAAGTCCTTGTGGCTGGGAGTGGAATTCAGAGTTTGGGCCAGGAAGTCAGAGAGACCTGAGTGTGGCCCTGGCTTTGCAAGCTGGTCAAGCTTCTCCCTCTCTCCCTAAGCCTCCATTGGTTAAACAAGACAGGTTCCAGTAGTTGGTACTGAATTGAAGGGTCAGAACTTACCCATGTCAGACCAGGGAGGACAGAGCCTGGAGTGCTGTCTGTATTCAATAGTGAGAACTTCATCTTCCCCCAGAGATGAGATTGCTGGATGCATCGAGAAGGCCTACGAGAAAATCCTCTTTACTGAGGCAACCCGGATCCTCTTCTTCAACACACCCAAAAAGATGACAGACTATGCCAAAAAGGTGGCTGGGGTGCAAGGGATTATGGGGCCAAGGGGTGCACTTACTAATAGCTATGAGGGTGGCCTGGAGGGACCTGGAGCAAGACTGCCCAGGTTTAAAAATCCAGGTGTGTATCCTCAGGCAAGTCACCAAACTTCTCTGAACTTCAGTTTCCCTATCTGTAGAATGAGGCTAGAATTTAACCTGTGGGATGAGCTTAGCATAGCATCTGGCACGAGGTGGAGGTGAAAACTCAGCACATGTTGGCTGTTGTCCTTAACAGAATTCCTTGGAGGTTATCGCCTTTCCCCACACAACTTTGCTTCATTTGGTTTGGGGTATTTGTGCAGGAGCAGTGCCCCTGGACATGCTGGTGCATGGGGGGCAGTGACCCTGGCTAGAAGAGATGAAATTGACCTTGAGTGATGGTAGCGGTTGATATTTAGTGGGCCAAACACTATTCTTAGCACTTTACAAGTGTTGATTGAATTCTCATAGCAGACTTGAAGAGTGTGATTAGGGTCCTAGTCTCAACCATGGAGAAACTGAGGCACAGAGAGGTGAAGTTACTTGCCTAGAGTTGTGCGGGTAAATTATTAGTAAAGCAAGCCAGGGCCTACATGGGTAAGTGCTGGCTCTATGGGGTGGGGAGGGAGCCTATGTGATCACCCCACCCATCTCTCACCCCTCCCTTTCTGCAGCGAGGGTGGGTCCTGGGCCTCAACAACTACTACAGCTTTGCCAGCCAGCAGCAGAAACCAGAAGATACCACCATCCCCTCCACGGAGCTGGCCAAACAGGTCATCGAGTATGCCCGGCAGCTGGAAATGATCGTCTGAGCCCAGCAGGCACTGAGTGGGGCAGAGCTTACGTTATTGAAAGCAGTTGCAGTGCAGGGTTTCCTCTAATAAAAGTGAATGGACATTCTCTCTCCTAAGTCCTTGTCTTCCTAGGTGGAATGGTGGGGAGTCAAGTCCTTGTCTCTGAAAAACTTGGAAGTTTGAGGGCCCTCAGGGTCAGTCTTTGTCAGTAGCCTTTGCGGAAGGTATCAAAACGAATGCCCACTCCAGGGTCCTTGTGGCAGTGTGGCCTGGAGGAGCACAGGCCTTGGGTAGAGGAACTGTTGCACCAAGCTGTGGACACAGGAGGGCCAGTCTAAGGTACCAGGTTTTTTTAGTGAAGAGGATGAAGTATCCCAATTTTTAAAAAAAAAGTGCAATGAAACCAGTTTTTTCAATAATATGTGAAATGGAACCCTTGTGTGGGATACCACTTTGAGACCCCTTGGAACAAAAGGCATGGGCCCTGGCATGGGCTTGTCTTGGTTTCCGACCTTCCTGAGCTAGTGCTGGGACTTACGAACTCCTATACCCCCAGCCTATGTTTCCTGCCTTGAAATTCTTGAGGTGTTTAAGGCTGAGTCCAAATCTAGCTGGGCCATATGTGGCATTTTTAAGTCCTCCAGTTTCCCCAGCTGTAAAATGGGAATGACCACTCCTGCTTTCCAGAGTGATTTATGCTGAACCCTTGAGTTTGGCACGAGATCAGCTCAGAAATGGAGCTGATGGTATTATGGGGAATGAGGCCATCTCACTGGACCCCATCAGTCTGGATGGTGGATGAATGGAACTTCCGTAACTGTTGCTCTGGGTCCAACCTGTTTCTAGGATGTGGTGCCTGCAAGGAGACTTCTGCCATGACCCACCCCACTCCTTCAACCCTTAGCAGGTGACTTGAACAGGCAGCTAGGCATCTGGATGTTGGTTATTTTATTGTCAAGGAGGGGAAAGTAGAAGCCGTTGAACAGACTACACTCAGTTGGAATGGGTGGCCTGCAAGTCGAAGTGCTCCAGCCCGGCTACCAGGGAGCCGGCCAGCTTGATGGTGGCAACCCAGGAGGGCTCCCTCAGGTGGTTGGTGGGCGTGCTCAGCCTAGGACGAAAGTAGATTCAGCAGGGTCTGGCTGCGTGGTGAGGCCTTTACCCCTTCTAGGCTTCACTTCCATCTACATGAGGGACCATGTCTGAATATACTATAGGTGGTCTAGGACAGGGCTGTATCCAGTTAAACTAAGTAGGAAAAGGGGGCTGAGATTTGGTGATAGTGTGATATACCCCACTCCCCCTAATCGGAGCTCCAAGGGGTCCAGGGCAGCGGGCCTCCTAGTGATTCAGGATTCCCAGGAGCCAGGGTGACAGATCCTGAAATTCAGTGTGAGGGTAATTGGATTATAGTGTCTCCCCTGGATCTGAAGACTTAGGAGTAGTCTCTGCAGCACTGACTGGAACATCAGTACCTGCTGGCAGTCAAAACCTTGGGTCCCAGAGTCAAAAGCCAGAGGCTAGAAGGAGGCATGGCAGTTTGAGGGGCTAGACCAGGGACTTCCTTTGGAGCCCTGCATTTATATCCCTTTGTTTCCAGAAGATAGTCATCTCCCTTCCCGTCCCTGAAGGGCTTGGAACATGGCCCCTCTTGGTACTCTCAAGGACGGTGTCAAGGCTGTGAAGACTGTCAGCTGGGACCAGCTTCCCTCCCTGATGGCTCCAGAGAGTAATGAAAGTAACAGGGCCAGGAGTCAGCTTGAAGGGTTGGATACCAAAGGGCTAGGCCAACGTGTTCCTTCTTGGAGCCCAGTTGGGTTTGAGTTGCAGCCAAGGAAAAGGTCAAGGGTAACCTGGGATCTTGAGCAGAAGGACTAAGTGGGACTCTACCCAAGGAAGTTGGGTTTGGGACTTAAAAGGGATATGCCCTTCTCTCCATAACTCCCCACTTTCCCTCCCTAACCCCCTGCCTCCCCTCACCAGGCAGACACGTTGCGTGGCAGGCGGCGATGGCGTGGCTGGTGGCGGCAGTAACACTTGCAGGGGCAAGAGTTAAGCACCTGGAAAGGCGGCCAGTGGCGTCGGGCACCAGTGTTAGCTGTCCCCGCTGGAGGAGCTCCGCCACCACCACCTCCACCACCACCGCTGTCAGTCATGGTAGCTGCAGTCCGTTCACGAGGACCCTCTCCGGGTGCACCATCCTCACGGGTCGCACCCCGGGCAGCGCGTGGGCCCTTGTTTCTGCGTGTGCGGGTTTTGGCGGGCGCGGGCGTGGGCGCAGGTGGTGATGGCTCGGCTTTGGTGGGAGCTGGAGCCGGGGATGGGGCTGGAGCCTGGTCTGCATCCAAGGCGAGGGGCGGGGCAGGAGCCTGCGCGGACTCCAAGTGACCTGAGCCTGGGTTTGGTGGGAGCGCTGCGAACAGTGGCGTTGGCTGGAGAACTGGTGGCTGCGGTATGGGCTGCGGCGCCAGAGGCGGCGTGGGTGGTGGCGTGGGCGGTAGCAACTCCGGTTGGCCGGGAGGCCTGGGGCGCACCGGCTCTCCATTGGTGGGCGCTGGGAAGATGAACATAGGCGGCGCAAGCAAGGCGGGTGCAGGTTTCCGGGGCCCGGGAGCTGGGTGCGTCTGCCCCGGCGGAGGCTGCAAGGAGCCCCAGGGCCCTGAGAACGCGGCTGCGCGCCGTCTGGGGGCCCCGATGCCTCCGCCAGCTCCGTTGAAGCGGAAGTGGCGTTCAGGGCCATCGGGAGGGCTCACCCAGTCAAATTTGGGCTTCGAGCCTGGGAAGGTGGTGTAGGGTGGTGGCGGAAGGGCCCGGCCGTGGTTCGCAGGCACAGAGGGAGGTCCAGAACACCCCTCGCCGTCTCCATTACCGCCCTCAGCTTCCTGGGTCACCCGAGGGACCTCTCCAGGGGAGCGAGTGGCCCCAGGAGTCAGGGGCCCTTGCTTCAGGACCTCGGCATAAGAGATGGCGCCCGAGGCAGTGGAGAAGAGTCCCCTGCCTCCGCCGCCCCCTAGCGAGACTTTGGCGACTAAGGAACTCGATGCTGCTGCAGGGGGCAAAGGAGGCCCCGACTTGAAGGTGACTTTACACAGCAGACTCAGGCCGGACTCGGAAGCCACAGGCCGGGCCATTTCACCCTCGCCTGCTTGGGCAGGCGCTCCTCCTCCGGCCCTGCCGGCTGCCTGGCGCTCGCTGCCGCGAGGGACCTGGTTTTCTATGGGGGTTGTGGCAAGTGTGGCCAGAGCAGGACTTATTCTGCGGTCCGGGGTCTGCTGGTCGGAAGGCGGCGATGGTGACGGCTTTCGCGGCTCCAAGGATGGCGGAGTCAGGGATGGGGCCCTCCGGACAGGGTCGGGGTCCTCTTCGGCTTGTGTCAGAGGCGGGGGTGGCGAAGGCACCGCAGTGCCCGTTGGTTTTCGCCACTTAGACGGCGTGGGCAACACGGTCCCCACGGGGGGTGGGGATGGTGTGGAGACCGCGGCCACAGCCGTCTCCTCTGAAGGGGGCATCATTGGCGAGGGCAGTTCTAAGGGCAGGGGCGAGGGTGCGGCCTGGGGCTCCGGGGGTACCAGGAGTCCCTGGGACGCTGAGCTGCTGGGGAACCAGACGCCCAGCCCGCGAGCCAGGCGTGGGGCAGGGGAGGAGGG